ATGAAGATAGTCAGAAATTGTTTGCCTTTGAATGGGAAGACCCGGACACACATCATAAGACTCAATTGTTATGGACAGTGTTGCCCCAGGGATTTGTCTCATCCCCCCATATCTTTGGAACAGCATTGCAAAAGGATTTGGAGCACTGGAAAGAGAGAGACCCTGAGGTGGCGTTGTTGCAATATGTTGATGATCTATTGATAGCAGTCCCGATGTACAGACAGGAAAAAGAGCAACGGAATCCTTGCTGAATACCCTGGGAAAGAAAGGGTATAAGGTGTCATGGGAAAAGGCTCAGATCTGCCAACCAAAAGTTACCTTTTTGGGATACGAGATTGAGAGGGGGGTTCGGGCTTTGAGTAAAGATCGAATCCAAGCAATACAGGATATGCCTGCCCCCAAAGACCCCAAAGAGCTGCGAGCCTTTCTGGGCCTAACCGGGTTTTGTAGATTGTGGATTCCTGACTATGGAGGAAAAGCCAAACCCCTATATGAATCCCTCACAAAGGAAGGCCTCACTAATTGAAAATGGACTAAGGAAAACCAACATGCATTCGAGTTATTAAAAGCTGCCCTCTCGCAACCCCCTGCGTTGATGAATCCAAATGGGCGCAAGCCCTATAGACTGTATGTGCATGAGAATAAGGGGGTGGCCTCAGGGGTCTTAACTCAACCAGTAGGCCCAACTTGGAAGCCCGTGGGCTATTACTCCAAGGTCCTAGACCCAGTGGCGAAGGGGTGGCCTACATGTTTAAGGGCTGTCGCTGCCACAGCTACTCTTGTGGAGGAGGCCCAAAAGATTGTTATGGGAGCTAATATGGAAATACATACACCACATGGGGTTCCCCAGATCCTCAGAGGAGAGGGAGGGAAATTTTTAAACCCCTCCAGACAATCCAGATATAAAATCTTTCTCCTATCCAATCCAGGCCTCACCTTCAAGCACACCACTGCTTTAAGCCCAGCCACCCTGATGCCTAAACCGGGACCTCCATGTCATGATTGCTTAGAGGTATTGACTCAGACAGTGCTGATTCGTCCTGACTTGGCAGATGACCCCCTTAAAAACCCAGAGGAGGAGTTCTTCGTAGATGGTTCAAGTAGTGTAATACATGGCATACGGCATACGGGGTGTGCTGTGATAACTTTGACTGAGACTGTATGAAAAAAAAAACTCCCTGCAAACTGGTCAGCACAGGCAGCGGAGCTCACTGCCCTGACACGTGCATTGGTATTAGAAAAAGACAAAAGGGTGAACAGTTTTACAGATTCGCGCTATGCCTTTGCCACTGTACATGCCCATGGGTTATTGTGGAAAGAACGTGGGTTCATCACGGCCTCTAGACAAAAAATTGCAAATAGGCCACAGATTGTAATGCTATTGGAAGCCCTCCGGCTCCCAAAAGAGGTGGCCGTGGTGCATGTAAAGGCCTATGGCAAGGCTGCAGACGAACGCCAGAGAAAGGGAATGCGAAGGCTGACGTAGCAGCCAAAGAGACAGCACAGATGGGAGGAGAGGCAGTGTTTCAGGGCTCGGCCCATGAGGTGCCCTTTTACTTAGAAAATTGTAAAATAAAGTATGGCCCAGGATCAGATAAGCTAGCCGCAGAACTTAAGGCTATTAAGAACCCTCAGGGATGGTGGATCGTACCCGGAGGGAAAGTATTAGTACCTCGATGCTTATTGGGAGATATACTCCACCGGTTACATTATTCCACTCACATGGGAGGCACTGCGATGGGAGACTTGTTAACTCATCAAATGGTGGCTCCAGGACTTTATTTGGAAGCCCAGAGAG